TCACATGTTAACAGGTGGTCCACAAGTTATGGGTTTTCACCTTTACAATGTTGGGCAAGCCATCCGCGCTTGGTAGAAACAGGCTTTCAGAGTTTGAATGTTGATCTTTTCTGGAGTATGTGGTACGACACCCTTGCTGGATGCTGGGCAACAGCAGTGAGCCCACCAAGTTCGAGGGTAAACAACATACTCCCCAGGTGGTTAGCCATGGTGTTTGGAAGGTTAGGTGTAATAAGCAGGTTTTTAACTTAAGATTTTATTTTTGAGGTTTGTTTGTTTGGGGTCAGTGATTAACTTCAGGGTCTCACGCTGGCTAAGAACATGTTCTACCACTGAGCTATATACTCTTAGCCCCAATATTTTCAACTTACATTGGATTTATCAGGGTGGAGAGCATTAATCAGTCCCTATCCTTAGAAAAGCATACTGATGCCAAGTGTGGTGGGACATGCCTGTAATCCCAGCACTTGGGAGGCTGAGGCAGGAGGATCGCTGCAAGTTTGAGGCCAGCCTAGGCTACATAGTGAGATCCTGCCTAAAACAAGAAGAAGAAGAAGAAGGAGGAGGAGGAGGAGGAAGAGGAGGAGGAGGAGGAAGAGGAGAAGAAGAAGAGCATGCAGTATGGCTACAGCATTCTGGTCATCATCTTTGTTGCTTTTTATGGAGCTCTTATTTCCCCAGTAATGTTGGTAGCCATTGATTCATTAATTTATGTGGCAGTGGAAGGTGATGTTTGTATTCTAAATCTTGGAATTCCCAATTATGACTCCTCCCTAGCTTTTACTTTCATCTACTTCCATATAATATTAGGGGAAAACAAGCAAACAAACTTCTGTTTTGTTCTTTTGACTGTGAGAAGTTATAGAAGTGACTTATTAATAATAAAGAAGACCGGGACATACCAAAAGACGTAAAACAACAACAAAAAACGCCTGTTGCAATGCTTGGCATAGGGCGAGCACTTGATAAACACTACTGCAAGCCCGGAGATGTAGCTCAGTGGCACAGCGCCTGCCTGGCAAACGCAGAGCCCTGAGTTCGACTCCCAGTACCACAAAGATAAATACTACTGCAGTTTCTTTTTTTTATTTGACTCTGTCTGTGCTAACAATTAGTACCACTAGGTGGCAGACTTTGGACCTAAAAATTAAGACACTCATACAGAAAACTATTAGGGCCTCACTACATAGTGGATTTTACGGTGTCGAATTAATATAAACTTGTTTAGTTCTCAAACAACAGGAACTGTAAATTTGTGGGATGCAAAGGGCTCTCTGGGAAGGAGAAACGCCTAAACCTGTGCCCTGAGCAGTACTTGGCAGATGACTCTGCTTCGCAGAATTATGACTGTTACTTATTACTTACAATGTTGGATTTCTATTTACCTTGCAGTATTCTCATCATTCGCTGGTGACAATGGTTATTTCATGGCCAAGGGTTGTGCATACTTGCAGCCGCGCTCTCGGAAATAATTTTATCAGAGGGTTTGAGAACTGCAGCTCACTCGGTTACCTTCTCCGAGGACTCTCGGGCTAACCCTCAGGAAGCTTTGCAGAATCAGGAGCGCTCAGCTCGGGATGGCTGAAGGCGCGGGACACCGCCTGTACGCCAGCTGCTACTCGGACCTCCGGGAGAGGGTGGTGGGGTCGTTCTGTCTTTTCCAAGTAACTTACGTTTATTCCAAGATTGCGTTTGGTTCAACACTGGAAAAAATCTATGTAGTTTCTATACAGGAGGAAAGTTATACTATACTCAATAGGTGCAGAAGAGTCTAACAAAATTCAACATCCAAAGTAAAAATTCACTAAACAGGGAATGGAAGAAAACTTCTTTAGTTTGATGAAAAAAATGTATCTGCAAAAATCCACAGCAAATATTAGAAACTTTTTGATAATGGAAGAAAATTTTCATAGAAAATCTGCTGTTCTTTTTTAATGTTCCAACATGAGGAAGTGACACATGTCTGAAGTGACAGGTCTGCCAGGTTCCCTGATGTGAGCAGGAATGTGTACAATTCTGAGGTATCAATTAAAATCCAGGAAGAACCACTCCTCTGGAAAAGACACCTTGATATTTATTATTTTCCAAAAAAATATTATTTTAAAAAATTGTGATAAATTACTTTTTAATAGTTTATTTTATTTTTTGGATTTTTGAGATAGGGTCTCACTCTGTAATTCAGGCTAGCCTTGGATTCACTATATAGCTCAAGCTGGCCTCAAAACCATGGCAACCCTCCTGCTTCAGCCTCTGGATATTCGGATTATAGGCATGCGCCACCAGCCCTGGCCTGATAAATATACTTAACATAATTTTTACTGTTTTTGTCATTACTAAACGGACAGTTCGGTGGTGTTGACTCACTGTGGTGTGCATTCTCACCATCCTTCTCCAGAACTTTTTCATCTTCATAAACTGAAGCTCTGCACCCACTAAACACTAACTCTCTCTCCCCCTCGGTCCCTAGCCGCACATAACCATCATTTTACTTTCTGCCTCTGTGAGTTTTTCTAGCCTGGGTGTCTCGTACATGTGGAACCATATAGCACTTACCCTCTGTGACTAGCTTATTTTACCTCCCATAACGTCCTCAAAGTTCATCTATGTTCTGGCAATGTGTCAGAATTTAGTCTTTTTAAAGGAACACAATGTGTGTTTCTTTATCCACTCATCCATCAGTGCAAACTTGGGTTGCTTCTACCTTTTTGCCCTTATAATAATGCTGCTGGGATCATAGGTATTCAGCCGTCTCTTCAAGTCCCTGCCCTCAGTTGTTTTGGGTGTATACACAGAGGAGGTGTTGCTGGATCATATGCTAATTCTATTTTTTTAAAGGACATGCCATATTGTTTTCCATACAGCTGTATTTTACATTTCTACCAACAGTGTAGAAAAGTTCCAATTTCTCCACTCCTTGTTAAGACTTTCATTTTCTGATTTAGTTTTTGGTGATTTCCATACTTCATTATTTATGAGTTTCTCATAGGGAGTTTGGTATGGATTTACCTAATGATTAGTATGAAACATGGAGCATCTTCTTATGTGCTTATTGGCCATTTGTACCTTTTCTTTTGAGAAATGTTTATTCAAATCCTTTGCCTATTTTTATTTTTTATGTGCATAAGTACCTTTATTTCTCTCTCTTTTTTTTTTTTTTGGTACCAGGAATCGAACTCAGGACCTTGTACTTGCCAGGCAGGCGCTTGTGCCGCTGAGCTATATCCCCAGCCCTTTATCTCTTATTTGTACTATAGATAAGAATTTAGTTGGGTGCTTTGGATGTAGTAACAGAAATAAAACTCTAGTTTATGCAAAAAGAATTTATTGAAAAATCACAGAGTTACCTCAAAGCCAAGAATGACAGTTTAAATCTAGGTCTCAAGGATGGTAGCCAAAACCAGAAATTAAATCTTGTAAGCTCAAGAGAAAAAAAGGGGGAGTTAACAATTAGGATACAAGAATACTTTACCACGCCAAGGGCAGGGAGTGTAGCCAGGCGTCACGAGCGCTAGAGCTAGAACGGAACACTGTTCTGAAGCAGGAATCATAGTCTCCTGATCTCTCATCCCTGCTTTTCAGTTTGCAAAGGCTTCATTGCTCTCCCACGGCAGATGCACCACTCCTTCTTCCCATGCATGATAGGACACGGCAGCTCCCAGCTCCCCGGTGTACAGTTCTTCTGTCCAGAGGCCAGGCAGACAAAAGCTAGACTCTCTAATCTCCAACCCCAAATTCCTAGGAAGTCTTCAGACCATACCAGTAACAACTATAACTCCCCCCTCTAGCATACACAGTAAGGCATAAATTTCAGGACACTAAGAGCCAGAGACAAATTAAAGTTTTGTTTTTACCACTCCTTAGAGTAGAAATGGCCAGGTGCTTTAAAAGATAAGGATGTTCCAACTTCTTTACCATTTCCTGGGTGATAGAGACCTGGGTAATGCTATTTATTATATTATTTAAGTTTTTTTTTTTCATTTATTGTCTAGATATGATGTTTCTCTTAGGAAGAATAGGTCTTATGTCATTCAAGCATAGAATATAATATACTTAATCTTTTTTCCTAAGAAAAAGCAAATATTAAAAAAAAAGAATTACATGGAAGTGTTTAAGAAAAAGGGAAAAAGATTGCATTGTGGTGTCACAAATCCTTTATAACCATAAAATTTTGACCAAAGTTCTCTCATACTAGAAAGAAACTCTGGACTCGGACTCATTTCGCTTGAGTCAAGTGACCAGGGGCATTTTTACTATAGCAGGGGGAGAGTGGGGGCATCGGAGGAACAGAGACAAGAGAGGGAGAGGAAATTGCTCTCCGGGCTCCTTACAGTGTTGCAGTCTCTCTTGTAAGCACAGATTTATCTTGCTCACCAAAAGCCTGACATAAGATTTGAAAGGCAGTTGACTTGTGTTTTTTAAATTCAGCAAAGCTGATAGAGGTATTCTGCCCAGACCCTCTCACTCACAGGGAAATGAAATCTCTATGTCCAAAGTAGAACAAAAGGCAGTCAGTGTTTTATTAAAATATATTCCTGATGATTTCTTGAGGTATTTCTCCCACATGTTGAAAACACAATTTTATTACTTATTTTGCCTTTTCAGGAGATACAAGAAGTTAAGTTCAATAGTCACGGTACTACTGTAGTTCTTCCCATAGTTTTGTTTCTAGAAGTAAGAACCAGTCAGGGAAGCAGGACTACTCTGTGATAAAGAACAAGAAAAGCAACATTGGCCCGAATGCATTCAGAGTTTCAGAAGCTGGGAGTTCAGTTTTAACTTCGCTGATTTCAGAGTACCCAAGTTTCAAAAGAAAGTCATTCAATATTATGTTGAAGGTTTTGTATTTTGGTTTCTGTGTTTCTTCATGAAAATGTTTCTTAATGCTTTTGATTTTTGATCATCATAAATTGCTGCATCATTACATTTTCAGTAAATTCTGCTAGTGAAATGGTTGAAGGTGTGAAAATACTTTTCTGCTGGAAGTTCCCTGAGGAAAGGCCTTAAATTCTTTTGGCTAGAAAATCATCAGAAAACCACTTACCAGGGGCTTCTATACTTCAGCTGTGGTAAGAGTCAGCCGTGGTGTTGCTGGGGTTAGTGTAACACCACCGCCCTTTGTTGCCAAGCCAACTGGGTTGGGGGTCACAGATGACCTTTATTGTTGCCAGGTAGACTTCATCTTTAGAATGATCTTTAATCGCTTTTATACATGCTGCTTCCTTTTTTCTTCGCCCTTCCTGGTGTAGGAGCCTCCACAGAGGCTGTCTCCGCCAGAGCAAAAGGAGCAGTGACAGCTTTTCAGTGCATTTGAAGTTTGCGGGAGCCACAGAAACGGGGCGGACCCAGCGAGGGTGCAGAAGGACTGGCAGAGTAGTACGCGCACAGGTGGATGAGCGCTTTTCTCATTGTTTTCTCATTAAGCTGTTCTTTATGTTCTGGATATTAACCACCTATCAGATACATGATTTGCTAATGTTTTATCCTGTTCCCTGGCTTGTTCTTTGATTTACAGTTTTAAATTTTGATGTGGCAACATTTATCTATTTTTGCTTTTGTTGCTTGTGGTTTTGGTGTTATAGTTTAAAAAATCATTGCAAAATTCTGTATCATGAAACTTTTCCCATGTTTTAGGAGTTTTATAGTTTTAAGTCTTACATTTATGTCTTTGATCCATGTTGAGTGTGTTTTGTATATAGTAAAGGAAAAGGTCCAGCCAGGTGGCGTGATACATGCCTGTAATCCCCGCACTTGGGAGGCTGAGACAGGAGGACTGCAGTGAGTTTAAGGCCAGCCTAGGATACAAAATGATTTCATGACCAGCGTGAACTGCATAGCGAAACCCTTTTCCAAAAAGACAAAAAAAAAGGAAAGAAAGAAAGAAAGAAAGAAAGAAAGAAAGAAAGAAAGAAAGAAAAAGAAAGAAAGAAAGAAAGAAAGAAAAAGATCCAATTCATTTTCTTTCCTGGTTTTTTTGGGGGTGGGTACTGGGGAATTAAAGTCTCATTCATTTTCAGTGTACAGAAGTGCAACTGCTTTTTTACATGCTGGTTTTTGTAACCTGTACTGTACTCCAAAAGAGATGACTGGGGGACAGAAAAGAGCAGGACCAAAGCAAGACATAAATCCAGAAGGGCAAACATTAAACCCTATAGCTCCGTGTCTGGCATCCAGGACATATAGTGGTCAGACATGAGTTCCAGAGGGTTTGCTGACTGCTGAAAGCTCTTTCTCAGGCTGAAAGCTCTCTTCCTTTGGCTTTCCTCGGCAGATTTCCATGTTCCTAGCATCTCTGACTTCCGGCACCTTCAGCTTCCTTCCCACAGCCTAACACACTGTGTTCTCTGGGGTTCCTTGACAGATCCCCCAGGCCTCCATTTAAACCTGTGACCGGAAGCCTCCACAACCCTACAGCTCTTCAGTTCTGCAGTCAGCAAAGGCAGCGTCCTGTGGACTATGATAAGGTCTGCCGCCAGCAAGAGCAGCAGCCAGGCTCCTGTTGGACCATGGCTACAGTGGCCTCTGAGTGTCTGGATGGCTGAGCATAGTGAAATGAATCCCAGGGAGCCTTTCTGGAACAGGGGTTCTCTTCTCAAATGAAAAGTTGGTATTTTTTCACCATTAGCCTGTGATGGATGGGGTCTTGCTGATTCCCGAGATACCCTCAGGACATCTTTTGTCTTGTCCTGGCTTAAAGCACCTGGTTTCTTTTCAGTGGTCCTAATCTTTTCAGCAACCATACCTCCTTTGGTTCCAACTTTCATGTGGTTCTTTTCAAGACAAAATTTAAGGTTTTCAAATATTTTTGGTCTGCTTTTTGCCCCTGATTGTTCACTATAAATCTAGTTAGAAGCAGCCAGAATAACAATGCCATAATCTGCATGTTGGGCTGCCTTGAAATTTCTTCCACTAGATCAATTATCCAGTGCACTTGGACTTAGCCTCCCACAAAGCCACAGGATGTGGGCAAAATGTTGACTTTTTTTTGCCAGAGTGTAACATGCATGGCGTCTAGTCCATTTCCCAATGGAAACCTCATTCCTATCTGAAGCTCCTGAGGCTGGCCTTTGCTATCTGCATTCTTATCAGTATTCTGGTCTTCTGGGCTCCAACCAGAATCACCTATCAATCTCTGCTCATAGCATTCAAGGCTTTCTCAAGCCCAGTTCTCCAAATTTTTCCAAACTCTTCCAACAAACCAGTTCTAATGGCTTCTGAACTACATGTTAAATATTATCACATCAATGACCCCTTCCCTGATACCAGTTTTCTATTTTAGTCAGATTTTTTATCACTGGGATAAAATACCTGACATACACAACTCAAAGGAGAGGTTATCTTTGCTCACCGTTTCAAGGTTTCAGTCCATAAAAGGCCGAACATTATGGTTGAAAGGGCACAGGGGACTATAAAGGTGCTTAATTTGGGGGAACTGGAGAGCAAAGCAGGGGAACAGTGCTAGAGAGGAGATGGGCAGGGACCAGCTATGGACCCCAAGGTCCTGCCTCCATGGCCCGTGCAGAGAAAACCAGAATTGGGCTTCACTGATCTGCTTGGTGTCATAACAGTAAAGTTGGCAATCATGACCAACGGTCACACTTGCCTTCCAGAAATAAGTTCCAATTAGTTGTAGTGTACAATTCTTTAAATAAGCTATTGAATTTTGTTTGCTAGAATTTTTTATTTTTATTTTATTTTTGGTTTTTTGAGACAAGGTCTGGCTATGTATATTCCAGGCTGGCCTTGAGCTTCCTAAGTAGCCCAGGCTGGCCTCAATTAATGGCGATCCTCCTGTGTCAGCCTCTCAAGTGCTGGGATTACAGGTACCCACCACCATGCCTGGCTTGCTACAATTTTGAGAACTGTTTGCATCAATAGTGTCCAGGGATATTGACACAGGTTTTTGCTTTTGATTTTTTTCTCATAGTGTTTTCATCTGGCTTTGGAATCAGGGTAAGCTTGTCTCATGGAATGAGTTAGATAGTGTGAGCTCCTCTTTTTTTTTTTTTTTTTTTTTGTTGTTGTTGTTGTTTGTTTCTTTTGGAAGAGTTTAAGAAATGTAGTGTTTATTCTTCCTTACATGTTTGGCAGATTTCTCTTGTAAAGTCTTATGGTCCTGGGTTTTTATTTGTTGGGATGTTTTCGATTACTGATTCAATGTTTTTAGAGGTCTGTTCAGATCTTCTATTTTCTTTGTGACTCAGTCTCAGTAGGTTGTGGTTCTAGGGATTTGCTCATTTTATCTGTGTCATCTAATATGCTGGGATATAATTATTCATTGTACTGCTACATATCTATTAACTTGTCCTCTCATTTCTGATTTATTTGCACCTTCTCTCTTTTTCCTTCATCAGTTTAGCTACAGACTCATCAATTTTGTTAATAATTTTAAAGAACCAGCTATTGTTTTTCTAGTCGGTAGTTTGTTTATCTCTGCTCTAATCTTAATTATTTCCTTTCTTCTTCTGGCTTTTGATTTCATTTTTCTTTTTCTAATTTCTTAAGGTATAAAGTTAAGCTGTTAATTTAAGCTCTTTCTTTTTTATTATAATTGTTTATAGCTTTAAATTTCCCTCTTAGTACATTTTTTTACTGCATTTAATAAATTTGGGTACATTGTATTCTCTTTTTCATTTGCCTCACATGTTTTCTAATTTCCCTTGTCATTTGACATTCAAGAATGTTTCATTTCCACATATCTGAGTTTTCTAGTTTCCCTTCTGCTTTTGATGTCTAGTTTCTATCCATTTTGATTAGAAAGATAGCTCATATGATTTTGATATTTTAATATCTATTAAAGTTCATTTTAAGCCCTAAGCATAGTCTATCCAGAGAATAATCCATATGTATTAAAAAGATAGATTCCTCCACATATGTCCATTAGGCTCAACTGGTCTATTTGTTATGCATGTCCTCTAGTACTTCATTGAACGATCTGGTTGTCATATCAAGTTGGTACTACTTTTTCATTTATGGGGGATAAATGGAAACAGGCAAAAGAGATATAAAATAGCCTGCTCAATTTCATATCTAGTAGGTGGCAGAATTAAGACTCAATTCAAGGTCTGGTTCTCTAAGTGCCATGCTATAAAACACCACGCTAGAGATAATTTTCACACTATGTACATTGTAATCCTCCCACTAGTCTTCCTCAAGCATTTCTGTACTTGCTAAGAGTCAGTAATTGCCAAATACCACACACGGCAGATGTATATGCACACACCTGTGTCCACATATACATATATATGTACATCCCACCTGTCCCAGCTGGGCAACAAATCACCCCAAACCCCGTAGGTCTTATTGCACACCTGGATTCTGCAGGTCAGGAGTTCAGAAGCACAGAAAGATGGCACGCCTCTATCCTCAATATCCGGTGCCTCGGCTGGCAGCTGAAATCGTGCCGAGGTTCCTTCTCTGACCTGTGGAGCCTGGCTGGGATGATGGGAAGCGGTGGGCTGCTTGCTGCACGTGGCCACCGCACACAGCCTGGATCCCTCACAGCATGGAGCCCAGGGCAGTCCACCTTCTTATGCAGCTGCTCGTGCTCCAACCATGAGGCTTGTGCCTTTTTTTCTGACCCATCCTTGGAAGTCAGAATATTACTTTCATCATCTTGTGCTGTTCAGAGGGTCACAGGTCAGCAGGTTCCAGGGAGGGGGACTATTCTCCACCTCTTAAGGAGGGAGTGTAGCAGGGTCCCCTTGCAGGGGAGTAGGTGGGATGGATACCTTGGGGGATACACCACCTTGGGGGATACACCATGCCCTACGCCCCCTGTCACCTTCAGCCCACTAGTCATCTGCATCTGGCTGGTACCTCTGAAGTCTCCCTGTGTCTAGGGATTCTCACCAGCCTGCCCTTTCCACGACCCCATTAAGATTGGGCCTTTGAAGGCCTCTCCCCTGTCCCCTGTCTTGCCTCCAAAGAGCCAGGATTTGCACTGAAGGATGCAGTAGTCCTGTGACAGTCTCTGCACACCCCAAGGAGGAAGGTTTGACCCTCCCCCCACCGTAACTCTTGACATCCAATCTTGTAGGCTTCATTTTACACACATTCAGCAGCTAAGGCAAAATACACAAGCTCTTAAAATACAAAGCTCTCTAAATACAGTATTTCAGACTTGTATCCCTAAAATACACAAAAATATATGTGTCTAAAACCTGAAAAGTCACAAATGTTACTCAGAAAGTCTGCTCCTTCAACAATAGCAAGTTACAGGGTGGTACTGGAAATAGTGACTCTTAAAAATGTATTTATGGCATTTTGGTGAAGTGTCTCCGTTAGCTGAGGTTCTTGTCCTTTTCACTCAGGGCACTTTTTATCGATGATTAGCTACAGAAGAAGTGAATATAAATTATAGATTAGGGCTACTGGAGGAAAAGCACAAGGAGGAAAAGGGAACCAAGCCAGGGTCTGACCCGCCAGCCCTACCGAGCAGGCACCATTTCCTCATTCTGGGCAAAAGAATCACCTAGGTTCCCCAGAACGCCTGGGGGATAGTATCTGCTTATTTCTATTTATCAAGAGGGGAAAATCAGATGAGGTTATGAAAGCATATGTGATGAGATATCAGCACTTACCATGTTTCACTGGTGTCTGAATCAAGAAATTTCCTTTTAAATTGACCTAGGTTGCTGGGCATGGTGGTACATGCCTGTAATCCCAGCACCCAGGAGGCTGAGGCAGGAGGATCACTGCAAGTTTGAGACCAGCCTGGGCTACAAAGTGAGCTCCAGGCCAGCTTGAACTGCATAGTGAGACTCTATTTCAAAAAGACAAAAAATAAAACAATTACAAATAAGTAAATAAATAAATTGACCTAGGTGGTTATTTCATTTAAATTTTACTTAGAGGGAAAAAAAGTCATGTGGGTACCATGCTTAGGCTACAGTTTGGAGTATTTATTAATAATAAGTCACCTTTGGGGCTGGGGACTTAGCTCAGCAGCAAAAGCGCCTGCCTGGCAAGCGCAAGGTTGTGAGTTCGGTTCCCGGTACCGGAGAAAAACCAAAAAAAAAAAAAAAAAAAAAAATAAGTCACCTTTGCCTTTCACACATACTGGTTGCCATGTTGGGATAGGACACGTGGTTTTGCTGTTCTCTCTCTTTTCTTTAACAGAATATCCTTTTTAAGTTGTCATTCTGTCTCTTACCACTGAAAAAACATGAGTTCTAGTGAATTTTCACTCAAGGTTTTGTTTCAGTCCTTTGTGTGGCTTCCTGTGGCCTGTGAAGTGGGACAGAGAACAAAGCATGCCTTTGGGGAATTGGGTGAATTCCTCCTCATTCACTGTTTCTTGCTCACTGGGTTGGAAATCTTTTATTATTAGTTATTATTAATTATTATTATCACTCTTGCAGTACAGGGGATTGAACACAGAGTCTTCCTAGTGAGCTCTACTTCCTAGCCCTTTTTTGAGACAGGGCCTCTCTAAATTGGGCTTTCACTGGTCAGAGAGGGTCCAAGCACAGAGGAGAGGAAAAACTGAGAGAAACACTTTTTCCCTGAAGGAGGGAAGAATGGATAGTGAGACATTTCAGGAAAGGATGGAACTCAGCATGAGATGAATCCTGGTGGATTCCTGGAATGGCAGTTTACAATATGAGAATCAACAAGTGGAGAACACCTTGCTCTTGTGTACAAGGATTATCTGGATGTGATGATCCTTACAGATCTTTGCCATGAAGGTAAAGGCTTCATGTTTGGAAGATTGAGCTTGAAGCCACAAACAGATTGGAAAAAACCCATGTTTTCTTTATTGTAGTAAAATTACCAGTTATTATTACCCACATAATATTCATCTCTCCAAGTCTGTGACTCCAGATCCTTGTGGGCAATCCCTCTACCCCATCCACCAACCCACAGCATGCAGACACTAAATCTTCACCCTAGGGCTGAGTGTTTAGCCCAGTGGTAGCCTACGTGCTTAGCATGCTGTGGGGAGCCACTGTGGAGTGCTTCAAAGCCCACGGCATTTGAGGACCCCTGAGGACGTGACCCTGCTATCTAGCACAGGCGCACAAGCATGACTTAGCAAGGCAGCCATGCATGCGCCACATGGGTAAGTGAGTGCACAAGAATGTGAATATGTGATAATGGCGTAGGTAAGGGCTGAACAACAGAGAACTCTGCTTGCTGTTATTGCTGATGTTGGCTCCACGTTAATTCTTTCTCCTGGGGACCTCGCCCAAGAAAATACCCCATTAGCCCCCAACCCCAACGAGTGGCATAGTCAGCAGGATGCGAGGTGAGTGTCCCACAGTGCCTGTGGAACAGTGCCTGACTGTGAGGAGAGCCCCAGGGCGTTGCCAGCATGCTTCCCCCAGCCTCATCCTGGTTATCTGTAGCCACCTTTTTGGCAGCCTGGAAGGCCCCAGAGGGCAGGGGAGCGGTCCGTCTGACACCCGGAGATGTTTCAACACCTTAGAAGCAACAGACATGCAAATCTCTCCCCACCACAGTGAGTCGGCAGGGCAGGTGGCTTGGATGTTTTTCACTCTTTTCCACCATGTGGGCCAAGAAGCAAAAGACCTCCAGCAAGTGGACCAGCTGTGACAAACTGAGGAACATCTGGAACAACAGCTGGCTGCTGCAGAAGCCATTTGCAGGGCACAGGGAGCACTGCTTCCTCCTGCAGCATCTCCTGAAGCCTAAGTTCCCATCTTGGAGAATTCCTGGGAGAAATCCCTGGTCTTGCATGCAAGGCCCGCTATTCGCTAGAAGGTAGAGGCGGAGGAGCCCCTAGCCGGAGGAGGAGGACCAGGGGAACTGCCTTCTTCCACCCGGCACACAATGTACACAACATACGTGGCCATGGAGTTGTGGGAGCTGATGAAACAAAGCAAAAGGTGGGTGAAACAATGCCTGTGTGGTTGCTACCACCATGGGACAATGGGGCTGGTAAGATGGAGCCACCTTTATTGGCAGCCTGGAAGGCCCCAGAGGGCTGGGTAGCATCTGTCTTAGGCCCACAGTGATATCCCAAAGAGCCAGCATAACCAGCACCCGCTGTATGTGGTGAGTTCTCAGGATTGCAGAGGACGGCCTCAGGAGCAGATAGCCAGACTTTGGTAAACTGGTTGATGGCAGCAGTTTGCCTGGTTTGGATGAATCCAGGTGCCTTGCCAGAGCAAGTTGTGAAATGGACAACCTACCTGGACTTCGTATCTGCTATGAAAAATGGGCATGTGCCAAGTGATGTTTGCTATGCAGCGTCATGGCCCTGATGAGGAACTGCTGGCAGCATGCGTGGAGGACATGGTCCTGCAAGTGGGCCAGCTGACCCGTTCAGGATGGTGGCAACCCTTCTTGCCCCCTTCACAGACCACCTGTCCATGACACTGTGGACATCTTTGCCCAGCTGAGGGATGTGAAAGTAAATCACCAAAGTAAGGCAAGGTCAGTAAACACTATACCACCAAAGAGAAAAAGGCAGGCAAGCCCAGGGACAGCCACCACCTGGAGTCCCAGGATGCAAGGCCTGGCCAGCTGGAGGGAGCACCATGGGAAGGCAGGCAGGCAGGCAGAAGAAACAGAAGCACAAGGAGTGTTTGGGCATGGTCAACTCCAAGAGGCCCTGAGCTCAAGCCCCTGGGTGGCAGCAGCCCTGCCCCACCCAGGTGGAGGCATTGGGAAGAATCCCAGTGGAGATCCCTGCCCACTGCTGAGGGCAGATGTGGCCAGCAGGAGGTGGGCAGGGGTGTGTAGGAGCACAGCTGCAGCAGGCACCAGCATGGGCCAGCACCCCAAGGACGAGCAAGTACTGCCGCAGCAGACCTAGCATGGGGACCGGGATGATGACAACAAGGAGGAGGACTTGGGCAGTGCAGGCTCCTCTGCTGCTCCTACTCCAGCAGGTGGCTGCATCCTCAGACCAGAGCTGACGCTTTGGTTGCAGCTTGGGCAGCCCAGGATAGGCAGATACGGCACTGACACTTGTGGGCCCTGACCTATGGCAAGACTTATGGGAATGTGGCCAAATAAGTAATCATGTACTGTATCATGTTGCAGGACATAAATCTCTGCTCTCCCAGGAAATGACTTGGCTGATGCCTTGACAAGGGTAGCCACTCTCTGAGGGCTACCTTCTGTGGTGGCGCCTTGGCTCCATAAGAAACCAGGCCACACAGGACCCCGCACCATACAATAGCACAGTGGTGGCACCTGGACTTGACTCCTGCTGAGTCCAAAGCTTCGGTAAAGGCGTGTCCCCAGTGTGCCTATTTGGCTCCCTGGAGTAGGAGGGTCCCCACACAGCTTGGCAGGGTACCATGAGCACCCACCCGCTCCAGCAGGTGGGTTATATTGGGCCCCTGCCTCTCTTGCAGGGACATAGATATCCTCTGACTGCTGTGGCTCCAGCCACAGGAATAGGCTTTGCCTGTCCCATTCCCTCTGCTGACCAAGTCCACACCGTTAAGACACTGCAGTTGTTGACTGCTGTGTTAGGATGCCACTAGAAATAGCATCTGAACAGGAAACCCATTTCACAGGGCCCAGGTACAGCAATGAGCCGAAGACAACGATATCAGGTAACACTCCCGTGTGCCCTACCAGCAGCAGGTTGCTGGTATAATTGAAATGTACAATGAGCTCCTAAAAACAAAGCTACCTTATTTGGCTCCAGAGTTCACCAGGTGGGTGCAGGGTCTCACCTCAGTCGGTCCAATTGCGCAGTGACCAGCTCAGATGTGAGGGTCACAGCCATTGGATCACCTCCTGAAAGCACAGCTGGCCTTTCTGCATATTTGACCCACAGAGCAAGGTTCTAAGGCAATGAAAGAGGCGTTAATCCTTCCCACACTTGATCCCATGCAGCCGGGAGCCCACCATCATGGACTTGGGACTGACCCACAGACCCCCTGATGGGGAACTGGGTGTTCCTCTTGGAGCTCTGGGGAGAAGGACTAAGGCGTGCCGTGGAAGTACAGCCTTGGACTTCAGCGTGGACCATTAGGACGCTGGTGCTCTCTCCACCTGGTGCTGGAGCCGCCGTTCTGAAAGGAGGTGATGTTGTGCTGCTTGGCCCATCCCTTCGGGGTGGCGGATCTAGCCCGACTCCCTTGTTGCAGCAGCAACAGAACCCAGGTCTGGTGTTTAAGCCGGGGACAAGAGGATTGCAGCCACGTCCTATCCCAGCATGACGATGTGGCCTGCATTCTCACAGATGGTGGGAGCTCCCTACAATGGCTTCTCTCTGCCCTGTCCTTCTGACCAGGATGAGTCACGCTAACAGCATCGTCTCCTGGGCACACAGGATGATGCCCTTGCTCACCAACAGTCACATTGTTGGGTACATACTGAATTCCCAACTGACACCGCCAAGAGCCTCCCGGGGAGGATGGTGCCAGTGCCCTGCTCAGTTGAACTGACTGGCAGCAACAAAACTGGACCAGCTCTGCCTGGGATCACCAATGCCAGCCTGTCAAGGTGCTGGTCCGGAAAAGCACAACTACCCCACAGGGACTGGGGCCTGCTATGTACAGTGGCTGGGGGTGGATGATGGGGAATCAAATAATGTCGAATGCAGCCCTGCTTTGTGTCAGTGGGAAACCGAACCATGGAGTGGATTCCATCTGATCTGTATAACCTCATGTTGCTGATAAATGATACAAACATTTGGTGGGATGGCCACAAGCTCACTGGTACAGTGCCCACCAACTGGCTCATGGTGGAAGTCTTATGGGTCTGTGGCCCCAGGGGCTGGCTGTATCTACCCACACATTGGACAGGGTGCTGCCCCTGGGGGTTCCCATTTATTAGGGGCACTATCAAGCCCACCATTACAAACACACCACAATTGGGACGCTGTTACCACAGGTGGTACCATACTTGATGGGTAGCCCGGTGGTTTTATCCAGTGGTCTTGATGCTATTAGGGGCAGAGACCATAGACCTAGCCCTCCAGGTTGCAGTCCTCAACATATGGCCCAGGCCCTGAATGTCACGTGCGAGGTTGTGAAGTTGCTCAAGGATGAAAGTGCTCAAATGAGAAAGGTGGTTTTGCAAAACTGCATGGCCCTTGATTTGCTAATGACAGCACAAGAAGGCACTTGTGCCCTCTTGCATGTTGCATTTTTATCCCTGGCCACCAGATGCAGGTACAGGAAGCTGTACAGGAAATGGATGCAGAAGTATAAGCCATCCAGGCCCTGCAGCAGGACCCACTCACCCAACCCAGTGGTGGGAACCCTTGGGGTCCAGCTGGCACTGGGTGGACGCAAGCTGCACTGTGGTGGCAGTGGGGTTAGTGGACTATGCTGTTTCCTTTATTGCCGTTGTGGTCTTTGTGTTCAGAGGTCCCCTTTATGGGCTGCACACCACAAGTGATGTTCCCCCAACCTCTGAGGGATGTAGAGAGCCACTGCAGACTGCTTCAAAGCCTGGAACATCTGGGGAGCCCTGAGGATGTGACCCTGCTGTCTGTCACACATAGGTGTACAATAGGTTACAAGTATGCAAGCATGACTTGGCATAGACAGGCATGTGTCACACTGTTAAGTTAGTACACAGGAATGTAAATATGTGATAACAGCATATGTAAGGGTGAAACAATAAAGACAGCTGCTGTTGTTGCTGATGTCAGCTGTGCGTTCATTCCTTTTCCTGGGGACCTCACCCTTGAAAATACTCCTTAACCCCCACCCTGGCCCCGATGTGTGCACAAAGTCTTGAGTTCAATCCCCAACACTTAAGAAAACAGAAAAGAGAGTCTTTACTTTTAAGACTGTTGTCCCATCATTATCTTCTATTGAAGCAAACCTAAATCTTAACCGTTTTCATCGGCACAAGGAGGTACGGTACACAGTGAAATGGCTGCAATCTTGGGCCCCAGAGTCAGCGAATTTGGGTTCATAGATCTACTCTGTTGATTAGCTGTGTGACTCTGGGTAAATTACTTTATCCCTTTTCATCTCCACATCCTTATCTGTAAATTGGAGATAATAGTACTGTACCTACTTCTTAAGGCTCTAGTGAAAGTAATTTATTGATTTAACACATTTTATCAAACACTACTTGTCAGGCACTGAGAATACAGCAGACCAGCTTTCTCTGGTCCCTTTTCCTGCTGTATCCTTCTTCATAACATTTGCAATATTGGGCATTTATTTATTGGCTGATTTGATTAGTTTCTGCCTCCTCCTCTGTTAAAGACGGCAGGTCCCAGTGGAATCACTTGTGTTAAGTTCCACATCACCAAGCTGAAACATAAGTTATTTGCTTGTAAGATCTGCCTTTCCAAAGCATCAGCAGAGAGATGAGAGCCAAATCCCACGAAACCAAGATTTTGCTTGCACGGCTGGAAAGAAAGTAACCTAGAAATGATCAATCTACTCTTTGTTCCTTGATCCTGCTCTCCTCTGTTTTTCTGCTAGAAAATCCATCTGCTCTGTTTAGCTCACTGTAACATCTTCATATTTCCAGACTGTGGGATGCCCCATTCAGGAATCTCTAACAAAAACTTTTTCCCAGTACTGGGGGTTGAAGCCAGGGGTTCACCACATAGGCAGCATTCTACCATTGAGTTATATTACTAGCCATTTAAAAAAAATTTTTGAGACAGAGTCTCATTAAATTGCCTCAGCTGAGCTCAAGCTTGCAGTCCTCTTACCTCAGACTCCAGTGTAACTAGAGTTACAGGTATGTGCCACCACACCCGGCACCAGTTTGATATTTAAGACAGTTTAAACTTTTGTTCCTTGACACCACCAACGCCATGCTCATTTCTGGGCCTGTGCTCAGTGTATGGTAGGAGCCCCACACATATTAATGATAGAACCAGTGGTTGGATTACGGATGGATGGATGGATGGATGGTTGGATGGATAAGATGCTTCTCTTCTGAAAGTGCAGCCCTTGGAATGCTTGGCATGCTGGATGCCAACAAGATCAATAGTGTGGCCTCGGATGTCTCTCAGCTCTTGGCCAGGTTTGATTTCTTAGCTGTAGTGGCAGGACCTGCTGTGGCAACTCTTGATGCTGCCAAAGTCTTGCTAAAGAGCAGAAGGTGAACTACCAGGCCAATACTAGCCTCTCTGAAACATACAGGGGCTGATGCGTTTGCAACCACCAAGCTGACTTTTCCCATCCCTGGATACAACCCTGCCATTCAGGCAGAGAAGTGTAGGAGAGCCCAGGCTACAACTGGTGAGACCTCTGCACTGAACTGAGCGGGAAGTCCTTCACAGAGCTGGTGACAAGTCCCTTAACAGGGTCCCGAACTGCCTCCCGGAGCTTGCTGCTGTCATAGCAGAGGTCGGCCCCACCACCTGTGAACTGGAGCGAGCTCCAGAGGAGTTTAACAAAGCACTGGCTGGGGGTGCATCTCTTCATGCTGCTATTTCAGCAATTGCTCTGCACTTGGAGTTCTTTAGGAAGGAAGCCCAGTCACTGAAGTGCAGCGTAAAACACAAATTCCCAAGGCAGGTCACAACAGCTCCTGGACAGTGCCCTCCCGGGCACCGAATTAGAGGGAGGGTGGGTAAGGCTCCCCAAAACGACTTTTTGGGCTTAAGATTTAACCTCATACACCTCTCTGGCAATACTCAGAGGTGTCAATTACAGCTTCAACAATTGGCAACCTACCAAAGGAGACCCATTAGGGAAAAACATGGTGTTGATTTGCCTGTTGTCCGTAGTCTTGTGCTTCCCTTATTGGATGTCGTAGGGGACAGCAGCATGCCACAGGGTTACATGTTCAGGTTCCTGGGGCTCCCAGAGAAATGCCAGCATAACAGCTTCCATCTCCATGGCGCCGAGCTACACCAGGGTTTCTCAAACTCAGGCTCTTCCAAACACTGGCCTTGCAATGTTCTCTGGGAAAGAAACATCCCACACTGTAAAATTTTAGGGAATTTTAGAAAGGCTGCATTTTGTATTGGAAATTCTCAAACAATACTAGCTTATCAAGGCCTCTGAAAAGTTCTGCAGGAAGATGATTTTTAAATTATTTAACACAGTCCATAAAAAATATTTGACCTTGAAAAATCCGCTTTTTGCCTCAGAAATCTGTTCTCACCTTAAAATCTGCTTTTGCGCACAGCTGACGATCGGCAGAATGCACTGGGGAGCTGTGCTTGGCAGTGAGAACAGACGGGACAGCCGGGCCCGCACTGCTGAGGCCCCACACGCACTGGCTACAACTCTGGCGGGGAGCCTTTGCCTTCTTTTTTTTTTTTTTTTTTTTTTTTGGTTTTTCTCCGGTACCGGGAACCGAACTCACGACCTTGCGCTTGCCAGGCAGGCGCTTTTGCCGCTGAGCTAAATCCCCAGCCCCTGCCTTTGCCTTCTGGTGGGTGCGTGCACACCTCCCCAGGGTATCTGCTCTTAACAAGGATCAGCAGCCTGAACGTTTTCATAAGTTCCAGATTTTCTATTGCAGACCACTGGAGCTGCACTACACTGGAGACGCTGTCAGCTCCTTCTACGGAGTTGATGGTGTGTGGTTATCTTAGCATCCAGTAGCAGCAGGATACAATTAAAGACTGGATTTTAGAGCCTTATTAAAGGGATTCTGTGAAGTGACTCTTGGGATAAATGCCCATACCTTATGTGTTTCTGGGATCTGCCTGAGGAACCTCCTGAGCTCCGTGACACTTATACAGCTTTGAGACTTCCTCTGGAAATTTAGCAGCCAACTGTGTTACTCCTCTTGTTATAAATTGCCTTCCTATTACATTAAACTAGTACTGCTTGATGAAATTCATGA